CAAAATCAAGCTACCAGATTGAAAGTTATAATTGAAATTTTTGCTGAAAAGAATTTGGTCGACAAAGCAAAAAATAAAATTATTTTTTAAATTAATAAAAACAAAAATGAGCTGCGCATTTGGAAGCTGTACAAAATACAAATTACCATTGTAACTGCAAGGAAGACGGTACAAAATGTTTAAAATTTCCACGGCTTAAGCCCCTGCGGCGTGAGCAAGGAAAGCCTTCTAAAATATCTGTGTATATTTTCTCAACATTGATGGTGACCAGTTAACAAAGTCCGATTTTCTTTTTATTTATTGTGCAATTCAAATGTGACTCTAGAGGAAAGGACTGTAAAACGTTTTTTTTTTCAATTCGATATTCAAATCTAAAGTTACATACATATGCCATTATCCATTGCATTTCGAGGTAACATTGCATTATTTGTATGTACAAATTTTCACTACATATGTATATCATGTACTAGACTTGTTTGGTTTCCAGGCAGGTTCTTGCTGTTCATCTTAAAAGACTAAACAACTTACACCCATTTACTGCGAAAGAAATTACCATCTCGAAATTCGCTAATTTATTTTTAAATATTAACAATGTGGTACCACTGCTAGCAACATGAACAAATTATGAAGCTTAAAAAATCTCAGTATCCTTAAAAAAGTTGTTTATTGAAACTACCTTCTTTTCGCGTCTGCTTTAACCTGCCTGCTGAAAATTCCCTTCTGTATGCATTTACATACAAACATACAGACATAAGTATTCTATTCCTATGCAATTGTTTTTTAATTCCTTTGGCCGATTACCCGATAAAATTCAAGGATTGACAATTATCAACCCATTCACGGCCAATCCTTTCGTGGCCTATAGATATTGCAACACATACCCATATGAACATTTTTTCGAAAAAACGACCGTAGTCGCAGAGTGGTTAGAGCTATTTTCGCACGGTAGGGCCCAGGTTAGATTCCTGTTCTGAGCAACATCCAAAAAAAAAATTGTTTAGCTGTCCTTCGGGAGGAAATGGCAAACCTCGGAGTTTTCTTCTGCCATAAAAGAGAGACACATTTTCCCTTCGGAGCGCAAAATTATAAATCCGCCTCATTTGCTTTTCGAAAAAATTGGGGCTTTACACATATCCTATCCCAAAAAAAAAATCAGATATTCATATGAATTCATAGCTGCGTTTGACTCTGATAACTTTCTTTATAAGGGATGGTAAAATATAGTATAAAGCCTTAATTAAAACTTAGTTTAAAAAATTGTTGGACGCAAAATTACCACAAAGGTTCCGCGAAGAACAAATCCTGCCGTCAAATATATTTCAAAAGAAAGTTATTTTGCACGGTGATGTTTTATTCTATAGGTATTTATTTTAAACTACATAGATGTATGTATGTACATATCTTTAAGTTTACACACGCCTTTAAGTCACACAGTATGACCGCGGAATTTTCAAGCTGGTACAGCCGGCCGGCTGCAGACGGAGGATGGGGCAGCTGCAGAATTCACTTGGCTTGCTGCTTGACTGCGCGCATTGTTTGTTTTCGTGAATTTGCTGGTCATAGCATAGGGGCAGGTTGTTCGACAACGAAATTCCTACCTTGCCTACGCTTCATTTCCAGTACGATTATGAATGCGGCTAATGAAGCGTAAATGACCAGCGGCATTTCATAATTAGTTATGTACGACTACACGTATAGCCATAGCAGCTGAAAAAGGGTGGGTTGGTGGAGAGGTCAATTTTGAATAATTACAATGCAACAGACAATTTTACAAATTAACTACATGTATATTATAAAAAATAAAAATAAAATAAAAAAAATAAAAAAAAGTTTGTTGGGCAGGCAATACACTCTAAAAAAAAATTGTGTAGATTTCCTAGCTAAAAGGTAGGTTACTGATTTCGTACCTTATTATTCGCGAAATTACATGCTCGATTATTCAACGAATAGTTTGTTTAAATTTCGGACTTTTCAGAGTGTAATATAGCTGCTGTGGTGTGCGTAAATTTACTGCGAAAGTATGTACAAGCACCAAAATACACACCTGCGGTTTGATTTCACCCGAAGAATTGTGTAAAGCCGCTAAAAAAAAGGATTTTTATACACGAAAATGTGTAAACGAGAAAAATACATATTCATTGTGGAAATTTACCAAAAATTTTAAAAATAAACAAAAATATACTCGAATTATAGTCGCATTTTTAAACAGATTTTTTAGAGTGTAGCAAACCTCCGAGTGTGTATGCGTAAACGCCAATCTATTATTATTATGTGTAGTATATGTATATGTACATATGTATGTATGTTAGACTGACTCAAAAAAAGTCGACAAACTTTTTTTTATTAATAGCCGCCTCTTCAATACCCCCTCAATACCTCCGGGGGATGTAAAAAGATAATTTTAATTATTTTACCTAATATAGGAGAAAAATTGTAATAATGGCAAAATTTTCACTTTTTGTTTGAATAACCGTTAAACCAGTAGGTTTACCAAGAAATTATATGAGACGTTTATCGTAAAGCGTCTAATTTCCCATAAAAATATGTATAGCATTTTTTAGTTCAAGAACTTATAGCCGAGAAAACAAATTCCAAAGATGAAAACAATTTTTTCTTTTAAGTAATTTATATGGGAAACCTTTTTAACTTCATATTAAAAATTGCGCTTTTAATGGGCATCTTTTGATATCCCCGGAGGTATTGAAGAGGGGGCTATTAAAAAAAAGTTAATCGACGATTGTTTTGAATCAGTCTAATGTAATTTGTAATGTAATTTTTAATACATAAAACCTCAAAACCATTTGTATAATAATTTTTTCTTTAATTGGATTAAAAAGTGACTTTTATTCGGTTGTAAATTCGCTGGGCACGGAAGCGCGATTAAACTGTTTGCATTTATTTACTTAAACAAACAAAAAAAAAACAATAAGTCTACGTGGTGACATTTCTAAATCTTTGCTAGCATGTGATTGCGATAGCGCTAAAAACAGTATTTGATTACATCCAGTGTTACCGCAGCCTCCCAAAAAAAAAGTATCCAAAATTTAGCCTAAAAAGTTTTTTTGTTTAAGTATCCACGTATCATTCTTAAAATAGCCGATAAGTTGCAGAGAAAAAAGCGTATTATGTGGTTACGTGGCATTTCCGCGTTTTGATGAATACATTGAATGTTTTCTACCATTTCTAGAACAGCAGCGGAGCTAATTTTTACTAATTCTCCCCAAAAACTTCAATCGTCTACAACCTCAATCTTATAGTCAAACTTTAACAATCGCCATTGCACTATCTAATAATTTTTCTTTGTCACTAATTTCATGAAGAAAAATTTACGGAAATACATACATGTATATATGTATATGTATGTATATTAGACCACGTCAAAAAAATTTACTAGGATTAATCAAAATGCTCGAAACTATACGAATACATTGATTACATTATTATGCATGCTCAGATTCGCTAAATTCAAAAAAAAAATCCTAATTACTAGATTTGAACCTAACAGGGCAAGCGATTAAACATTTCGGAATTTATAGAATCTGGGCATGCATAATACTTAAATGGCATGTAATCAATGTATTATTTATTATAGTTTAGAGGATCATTACTTTAGAAAATACTAAAATCAGAGTCCGATGGCAGTCAAATTGAAGGGTTTTCATTTTTTTTACGCGTTCTAAAGTATCTATATGTATGTAATATGTTTTTGTTTGGAAAGATATCGGAATTTGTACTGACCACCAAAAAAGTGTCCACACAAAATTCGTTGTGAAAAGGATTCGTTTGGATCCGAATGGATCAAAACGGCAACATTGATTACATCACACACCCGCAAGTACATATGGACGTGTATTACGTGTACATATGCACATATGCGCATATGTGTGTAAATTAGGGTGGTCCAAAAATACGTGGAAAAAAAAGGAAGTCGGAATTTTTATATAAAATGCAAGGAAAACTTTGAGCACTTTGAGCGCTTTGAGCGACCTCTAAATATTTTTTGATTTCAAATGAAAATATAAGGGTCTGTTTTTTTCGATATAAAACAATCCTAGGGGGTGAGAGTATTAAAATTCCTACTTTACTTCATAGTATACAGTAAACCAGCCATTGACAATATGCTTATTTGAAAATTAATACATGGCAAAAGTACCCACAAATATTTGTTGATATATTTGACACCTGACTTTCGTTAAAATATCTAAATGTTGTACGAGTTAGCGTGTTTACAAACAGACAGGGCTGAACCTATTCATCTCATCAAACTGAATATTTTGATATACTTTACTTTCTTTCTTTACTTGCATTAATTCATGCATTATCCTCTTTCAAATGTGAATAAGCGGCTGAACAAATACATACAAATTTGGTGCATTTGAAAATTAGAGAGTTCTACCTTAAGCTAAGTAATACCTGTTTTACCGCCTAATCGATGGGACTATTTTACAAAGTCAGCCCACCATTGTTCACTCAAAGTTGTGTTCGGAACTGCATCCGGTCAAAATCGCTTACGCTTCACGCTTGATTTGCTCGGAATTTTGTTTTTCTCATTATCTTATTTTATGTGACTTGAAAATATTTTTCACTATAAGAAAATATTTAAATTTGATTTCATTTCACGACAACTGTGAAAAAATATCAACCAATACATTCAAACAAAATTAGGGGATTCACAAGACGTGTTAACCGTCGTAAAATCTTAAGCTTAACACTTGTTTATGTAAAATAGCGGTTAAAATGGTTGGGGGGTTGGCTAATTATATATTCTTTATCAGTTTAAAAGAATTTCGGTTTAGTTAGAAATCCCCTAAAACCATTTTAATTAAAAAAGATGTTAACCTTAAGATTTTACGACGGTTAACACGTCTTGTGAATCCCCTAAATGTCAAATAAGCGTATTTACATTTTTTGTTTTGGCTATCTGGATTACCGTATACTGTGCTTTACTTATTTTGGACCACCCTAGTGTACATATGTACATAATTACAGTCGTTCGTTTGCATTAAAACATTGTTGCACTAGTTGTTATGGTTTTTTTTTCATAAACAAATTCAGATACAAATCAGAGGTAAATAATAACTGTGGATAAATAAATTGTGAGTGGAAAAAACAGGTAAACAACCTTGCAAAAGGTGAAGCAGAAATCAAATACGCGAAACTGTCGGTTTAAGCGACACAGAAATTAATGAATTTTAAATTACTTGCCTGAAAAAAAATAAAAATAAATGAGGGTATAAAAACATTAACACAGGTTAATGCCAATGCAAAAGCAAAACAAGGAAAGATAAATAAACAAGTGACAACAACAACTCAGTGGAGCATTTAGAAAGTGAAAACTGCTTTGAAATGCGAAAAGATAAACAAAAGGAAAAAGAAACGTAAACATCAAAAATTTTCAGTTGCAAATTGTTTTGTCTTATCCACACGATAAGTTTCTTGCCGCTAACAACAACATTAATTTGTCAACTATTCACCAACTTAACCAAGAATCCATATATCCAGGGCAGCCTATGCACTGCTGCCTGCAGCTAGCCACTACTACCTTCAACAATGTTTATCTCGTATATGAATTGTGAATGCGATAGCGAAAGCAGCCACAGCGATACAATGTCCGTGGAGCAATTGCTGCTAGCCGTGCGGGAGGAAACCGAATCGGAAGACGACGACGACGACGACGACGACGATGACGACAGCAATGAGGATGGCGGAAATGATGCGAATGGCAGCTGTAGGGAGGCAGATGGTGGCAGTGAAACTGAATCGAGCCACACAGTCGATTCGACAACCAGCGGTGCGCCACTGCTTCGCCGCTTCCGACGCTCGTCCATTGGTATGCAGCGCAAGGCGGCATTTCGTCAAAGGAAATTGGATTCGTTGGGCACTTGGCGGAAGCGGTAAGTGAAATTAATACCAAAAGGAAGGAAGTACATACATCTGTAAATGCATATGTATGAACATGCATACATATGTACATATGTTTGTTAATGTGCACGAATGAATATATCGACATTAATGATTGAATGTATTATTTATTTATGCGATAATTTGATATAACTGCAGGATTATGCACAGCAGTTGCTATTTCTTTATATAGTATACATATGTAATACACATGCGCCTACTTACAAGTCGATATCCGCATTACTTACAAAAGCTCACACCACTTTTTTCTTAGAAATTTTCCTTTTCAGTAATCCATCCATGACAAAGTTATAAACGATGTGTGCATATGTATGTAACTGTATTTACACAATAGCATTTCTAAGGCCTTTGAAATTGAGAACTAGACGGTGAGTATTAGTTCTTTGTGATACCACTACTTCGCTTCGTGCCGAGGACAAAGTTTCGCAGGCAGCAGATGTTAGAGAGAGAGCTCATTTGGACCAATTAGAAAGTAAGGACTTAGGTGCCTAAGCCGCAATCCAACAAAAGCTAGACTGTCTAAGAGGAAGTGTTGGACAGATTCCAATCCAAAAAAAGCTTAACAGTCTAAATGTGTTTTTACAGCGGGGGGTTAACTCAAATTCGGCAGTTAGCTTTCAGTTTTTGTACTGAAAAACGGTAGTTACCTGGAAAATATTCCACCCCGTTGTCCCCTTGCAGCTGCGAAAAAGGGGGTCAGGTTTGGTCAGGTCAATCTCACTGCGTGAACCCCATTCGGGCAGTGAGCTGTCAGTACGCCCACCAGTGGTGAAATAAGAGAAGTCCGCAAGTAGTCACTCCCCCACCCTCTCTTTTCTTAGTGATACTGGTTCGGGGGTGCCACTGTTAGCCAGTTCATCAGCCACACACTTTCCTGCGATATCACTATGGCCCGGCACTTCAACAAGTTTGACAAGATAATATTCCGACCGAAGAGGATTTGGGATTTGCCTCACAAGCTTCGAGCGTACTAGAAGGGAGCTGAAGGTCTCTTTGCCGCCCGGCTTTTTGAGTATATGTTTACCTCTCTTTCCCCAATCGCACACTATAGCAGCAAATCCACTGCTTCTTTAATAGCAGCAACCTCCGCCTGAAAAACACGGCAGTGATCTGGGAGCCTAAAATTACGACCCATCCATGTAGAAGTTTAACGGTACCTCCTCCCAACCGCTGCCCCCTTGGTGGGATGCGCGTGGAGAAAGATTTAGCTGACCATTTAGTCACCACATTTAAGAACTCTTGAGTTAAGTCTTATAGGGCATCCCAAATGTTGAATTAGTAAAAACTATAGACGCCTGGGATCATTCCTTCTAGCTTGGCGATAAAATTTTACGGTTAAAGAAGAACAAACTCTTCTCGAATGCCACGCCCGCATTCTACGCTTTCCATTTTTTGCCATTTGTTTTAACTGGTGATGCTTATCAACAATTAATTGATAAAAAAAAGTAAATAAATAGTATGTCAATTGACAAACTGCCATTTGGTTAAAAACACTAGTTGCTCAAATCACAGGCGAACTATTTGAGCTAGAAAACAAATACAGTAACCTAGATTAAAAGTACATACATATAAGCTGTCACTGCAGGATACGTATAAGTTACCTGCGCGAGTGTACATTTTTACTTATGCCTTTTAACGAACGCACACGTAACACAATTTTCTCATTGCATTTTTCCACTCTCAAACTGGCATAAATGAACACAGGATTGATGCTGCTTTGAAATTCTTAACACAAAAAAACGATGCGATAAAGCAACACTAACAGGATGCAGCAGTATATTATAGAAAAACGCACGAAAAAAGGTAGAAACTCGGTGAAAAAATGAAAACAGCGGTGCGATGCTTTGAAGCCATCAATTGCGCTCAACATGAATGGAAAAGCTGTCAAATGTATGGAAATGCTGTGAAGAAACAACTTTCAACATGTTAGATACAGATACAGACGCACAAGCACCGATTCTTAACCAAATCCAGCAAAAACTTTGCGTCTTTGGTAAGCGCTTACTTTTTGTATCGATGGAGTAACGCATTACAATTCACCGCCAGACAAAATTTTTCACTTTCTCGTTAAACATTTTTACATTCTCTCGCTTAACTCCAATGACATGGCCAGGTTGAAGTAATGTGTTTTGTAAACTAGAAGGTAAGTGGTAAAATTCGATTGGGAAGCGCTTATCGACATTCAACACATACCTTCTAGTTAGTTTAACCTGGGCATGTCATTGGAGGTAAGCGAGAGAATGCAAAAAATGTGAGTAAAAGGGAAAGTGAAAAGTTTTGTCTTGAGGGGAATTGTAATGCGTTACTCCATCGATACAAATAGTAAGCGCTTACCAAAAACAGAAAAGTTTTTGCTGGGAACTGTGACGTACAAAACACACTTAACGCAAATAAATAAGCGCAATTGCAGTCAAACTATGTTATTGCTTTAGCATTGGTGATATTTGAGCAAAAAAATATATCCAACATGCAGAAAGCCAACTCTTTTCCAATTTTGTTTTTGCAACCTTGCGACATTTCTGATTCTCAAGTGGAAACATTTTTCTCCCAGATTTTTTCAAAGTTTTGATTAAAAGTTGAATAAAGTGTGAATCCAAATTGATATCCAAGCTTTTTTTTTGCACAAACACTTCCCTGTAGGGAAACGGCGAACTAGTGAATTAAATTTCTAGTAACTAGATCAACACCAGTTCAAAATCAGCGAAATGCGGTACTTTTGAAAAACTCTTTTATTTCACTTTTTCATTAGAAATCTATATCTATGGTGACGAATTTAGAACTGGTTCAGAACTATAGAATAAGGGATGCAGCGCGGGGCTTGTTTACTTTACATATAAATGTGTTTGGCGGCTTTTGCGTTAAAATACGCTTTCATTCTGCACTTCGCAGATGCTTTTTTATTTATACAAAATAAAAATTTGTGTTAACAATTTAACATTTCGGGACCATCTGCAAGCACCTCCGCCAATTCAGCTACAGGCGAAAGCATGTAAACGTACAATTCTTACGATCATTCAAAGAAATTGAAAACACACTTCTCTGAAAATAATTTAAAATTGAACAAACGGAAAACCCAATAAGATTGAAAAAATCATAATACTTTTTTCGTTTGTCGATTTTAGAACAGCGCGGGGCAATTGACACTTGCTAGGGCATCGCAATGTTAAATTCGCCAGTTGCTAGCATGCAAAAGCGAATTAACGCGCACTAATCATGGTTCTAAATTCTCTAATACAGAACCAGTTCGGCACTAGTGCGTTTCCCGACACCGACAGGGTTATTGCAGGATGACATTAACAATACGCAGTGTTGATTTCGCTCACAGTAACTGGCAGTAACATCAACAAAAACAACACAAATCGTAGCAATACCAGTATCAATGCAAAACTGAAGATAATCACAAGGCTACATACAGGTTGCACTGTCAACGCTGTATTTCTTGCACTTTGTATTCCATACATATGTACATATGTATGTCTGTACATTCATTCTGACACTACAACGTCCATATGTACACGCAGGTACGTTTGTCTGTCAACGAGTAGTCAGCTAAAAGGCACCTGATGATAATGGCTGACGGCTTATCCGCTTGTCCAATGGTTGTCCAACTGTCCATCCAGCTGCCCCATTTGCGTATTCTCCCATAAATTGGCACATGTTTTACCATGCGTTCAGCGATGGTGCCATCGTTGCGCTTTCTGTTTGTTATTTCCTTTGTGTCGGTCATAATATTCGCTTTGCGGTCATAAACGACAAACTGTCATCCCCTAGGCGGCGCTGATGTAGTATTCGTTATTGTCCTCAGAGAATAAATAAGTAAAAAAAAAGGAAGCACAAAAAGCGCCTTATTCCTCTTTTTACATAAATACATATTTACATGCAAACATACATCTATTATACATACGTACATACTATATAAAAAGACCGTATGTGTCGATTGCTATGTCGTTTATAGACTCAAAAACTACTGAACCAATTTGAGTTTGAATCGATAAGATATGTTTACACTGGTGTCTACTGTGCTAGGTGGCGCTGGAGTTGATTACAAGTATTTACTTATTGTATTTTAAACTTGATTTTTGGTCGTAGATTACGGATCTGTAAACTGTTTTTCCAAGTCAGGTCATTTTCCCAAAATATTTTCATTTTAATTTTGCATTGTAATCGAAAACAAAATCAAAAGTTAACATGGGAAAAAATTTAAATTTAAAATTTTTTTATTTAACATCGATTTTCTTTGTTACTAGCTTGATTTTTTTTTGTGGAACAAGCTTTAATACAATTGAAAAAAATTTATTTATTTTTTTAATTTGTCCCCCATTAAATTTTGACTTGATTTAGAAAAACAGCATACAGGCTCGTTATCTACGGCTCAAAATTAAGCTTAAGTGTTTCGGGGGTTTTTATGTCATTTCATAACTTGAGATTTTCAATACAGTGTTATCGATATCATAGTCTATAAATTTACGTTGCTCGTTGTATTTAGCCTTAAATATTGCTGTAATCTACAACACAAACGGCAATAAAGCAAAATTTGCTTTATTTCACTTTTAAATGGGAAATAATACCAAAATCTGAGTTTTGCTTTATTGCCAACAAAGGTTGGAAATACTAAAAATGTGACATAATTCATATGAAGAAAGTAATATTCACAAAATATTTTTACTTATGAAAAGTCTAACAAAATATAGGAAAAAAATCGTCTTTAACAACTGCTCAGAAAATTGGACATAGCGCGAGCGCGAACGTGGACCGCTGCGAAGCTGGGCACTTTCAAAATTGTATACATACAAATCCGTCCATTTAAACTTGTTCATGTACTACTTTTTGTCAAATGTAACTGGGTGACTACCTACATATGTGCAAAATTTTGCTTTATTACTCAAAATGTTAAGTTTAAAAGTTGGTCTTATTGCTCAACGAGAAATGAAATAAAGCAAATTTGTGTTATTACCGTTTGTGTTATTTCACTCCCCGCATACTAATCTATGGCCGTTGCGTACATTTGAAGTTACGGCGCGCGCAATTCAAAAATTCACTGACTTTTTTTACTCATTTTTCGTGTGGAGGCGGTAGAAAAAAAAAGTTATTACATTTCTGGGGAAAAAACGTGGATATTATAAATTGAGAAAACAGTTTCAACACGCATTTTCTTAAATTCCATTTATTTCACGGCATTCTTAGACCACTTTTAATACTTAACTGTCAAAATGTAGGCGCTTTAAAATGAATATATTTATTACATCAACACGAATTATTTTGAATATCAACGACGTAAAACAATATATGTACTTAGATATCTATATATGTATGTAAACCTGAACAATTGGTATAATTGGAAAATCAAATAAAGGTCAGACTTTCTTTATTATTGAAGCTTGAATCGCATTCATTAAATATGTATGCGAATATGTATGTATCTGTTGCTGTAGGTGGTGAACTTTTTTTTTTTTTTTGCATTTCCTCAAAACATGCAAGGTCAAATGTGTGCGCAAGTTGATTATTTATTTGTGGCAGCTGTCTTTGTGGTTGGAATGCAAGAGTATATCGAACTGTTTGAATATTTTCCCCCTTTATAACATACCACATATGTACATAAATAGATAGTTTTTTTTATTATAATTTTTCACTTTTTCATTGCAGACGATCAGCGTCAGCGAGTAATGCAAGGCGACCCATACGAATTGTGCCCGACTGGACTGAGAATGCGGTGCAGGGTGAACACTTTTGGAAGCCCACATCGGTTTCAGGCGATTTATGTTGCTTGAATGAGGAGTGCATAGTAAGTTTTAACAAAAAAAATTATTTTGTTAATAATTAAGCATATGGCGACTTTAACTTAAGTTTCAGTTGCGCTGACACACATTTTTTTTTAGTTAATTACTAGTATTTTCAGTAAAGTGTGGCAGCTAATTACTCTTAAACTATGACTATACATACATATATATATAAGTAACATTATTCGGCTCTGCCAACGAACGGAATTAATCAGACTAAAAGCTTCAAATTTAATTAAATGCAGCTCATTTAAAATGCGAATGAATGCTCGCGCTTATGCAGCACAATAAGGCGGCGCAAAGCAATTTAAATCAATTACAAAAATGGTTTCATGTAATTTCTGTTATTGCGTGTTTAACACACATTAAATATTGGTGCACTCATACGCATGCCAGCACGCGTGAACGCACGCCTACACACGATCGTACACGCGCATGCCAACTTATACGCAAGAGCGCACGTATCCCTGCAAGGAAGTTCTTTAGTACTTAGTTTTATAGCTAATAATTTGTGAGTATATTCACAAAAATCATTATTCTCGAATTTCTAATCGTAATTTCGCCGAATCGCTCTAACCGTATAATTTTCGACACTATCAGGCATGTTCTGAAATTCGAAACTTTGAAATCGAGTCGATTTGCCAAATATTTTTTTATTATATCTGATGAAAGGAGTGAATATTCTCACTGAAAACTGTAAAAGAAGCAGCAGCGATATGAAAACAATCATTTTAATGCGAGACTTGTAATTTTTTAGGTTAAAAACCATCGAAGAAATTATCGAAATCGAGTCGATTTCAAATTTTCGAATTTCAGAACATGCCTGTATGTTTTAATATTTTCTGAACTTATTCATAAAAAGCATAGATAAACAACCAAGAAGCAGCTTTCCGATTTTCTCTTTCTTTCGTTAGGAAAATCGAATTCATTAGAGCAGCTTTTAAAGCATTTATTCTAAAGCTTAGAATATTTGACTGAATAACCGGTTTAAGTGCACCAATCCACCATTGATGGCAGCCACTTAAAATAAGAAAACATCAGAATTTTTTAATTTCATTTTTCAAGTCATTTATCATTTCACCGTGCGACAATAAAATTTATCCAGGAAAAATTCATATGCACGTGAAAATGTAGATTATATATAGTTAGTATTGCTAAAAGGCCAAAATAAAAAAAAAATAGGTTTAAATATAAAAACGTAAAAAAAACCTAATTTCACTTTCTTCCAATGAAATAAAGTATACGCAACGGATACCTCTTGTTACGTTTCCCCCTAATGACTACAATAAGTAATCCCACTAATATTATAAATGCGAAAGTTTGTGAGTGAGTATGTTGTTTTCTCATTCTTTGGATAAAATTTAGCTTAGAGAGCGCTTATGGCTTAGAATAACAGCATATAGCATATTTTCGAAAGAGGGTTGCCACCTCATCAAATTCTTAAATTCAATTTTAAATTATAAGTTTTAACTAAATAAGTTAAATGAAGTATTACAACGTGCGTGGAAAACAAATGATGTTTAAGGAAGCTTTATTCTGAAAATATTTTGAAGAATGTTGCATACATTTATGGGACATTATTGTGCTATAATTGTCTTGGCGAAAAGTAAAGAACATTTTTGTTTAATAGTTGGATATTCTCCTCTTTCGTTTGATATCCATATTAATATCGTTGAGAAAATATAAAGAAAATAATGTAAGAAATTAAATTGATGAGAAAATTAAAAAAAAAATTAAGTAGCTTTAAAAAACTGAAACTGAAACTTTTATAAACTGAAAAATTTACGAAAACGTCACTTTATAAAGCTCTTTAAACCTAATTTATTTTTTTATGAATAAGGCCATAAGTATGCAGCATTCTTACATAAAATTTATAGTTTCACCTCCATGTGCAATTTTTCCTGAAAACCAAAAAAAAAAAGTTGATTTTAGTCGCACGATGTTAGCAGTCAAGGATTTCTACTTATACTTTCTAATTAATTTTTTTTTTTTTACATTTTGAATTTAATTTGCCTATGCAACAACAGAAAAGTGGTCAACGCATGAAATGCTCGGCCTGCCAATTAATTGCACATCAGAATTGCATTCCAATCGTCAATGAAAAGACTCAATTAGCTTGTAAGCCAACATATCGAGACGTAGGCGTTCGACAATACAGGGAACAATCGACAACGCATCATCACTGGGTGCATCGCAAAATGGAAAAGGGCAAATGTAAACAGTGCGGAAAGGTGAGTAAATCGAATGTTGTTCAAAATATATCGCTACTAAAAGGTGAAAGGGTGCCAAGTCAATTTTTTCTTTGCAAAATTTAGTTTTTGACACAGGTAATACGAAATAACATCGACTGGACTTGGCACCTTTTCACCTCTGGGTGACGATATCATAGCAAGTGTATATGTATGTACATAATTAATTATTGAAAGCTTTTAAGTAAGCGATTATATTGAATTGGCAAACTAAATTTGTGAAAATCGCCACTTAAACCGCAAAATCACTCCTGCAGTGCATGCCAATGAACGCTTTCAAACCTCTAGCCAAATTTAATTCATTTCCAATTATTTATATAATTATTCAAGCTCATAAGCTGCCCATCCTACCATGCCATTATCTCTTCATATTTCGAGCTCGTCTTATCCTTTAACCAGATTTCATGGAATTTATTAATAAACATCTCCATTAGCAACATCGATTGCACACTGCCAGCATACTAAATTATAATTTAAGTGTAGAGCAGGTAGCGATGTCTGTGGCAGCAACCAACCACCACATTGAATAGTAAATGTTGCATGCAACAAGAATTACCAAGAAATTTTCACGTTTTCTGGAATATTGAAAATATTGGCACGTCTGAGGTGTCCGAGCATTCTATTGTCGTCGATTATCGGTAACAGAAAGTAGCATCAGCAAAAACAAGAAATGAAACTTACAAAATAATTGGAAATGGAGAAACCGACAGCAAATAGCGGTTTGCAGAAGAGTGAGAAAAAATACATATACATATACATACATATGTATGTAAAAATGTATAGATATATACTCAGTCGAAAAAAGAAGGGTTAAAAAGTACTTGCAGAAGGCCTTCGCTGAATTGTAGAGGGCCTTACCATCTCCATGATTTCCTTAATTATTATTTTTTTTTTATGAAACGGGCATTGCCTTTCTGCTTTCGGGAGAACAGATCATATAAGGACTTATTTTTATGCGTAAGTTCTTTCCTTTGAATACGATGTTCATTAGGGTGGAGTGATATTACGCTTCTTTTAGAAATCGCTTTTTCCTACCTGTAAAAAGTTGCCTTTCTGACCCAGAAATAGGGGTGCAAAATGTTGTTGGCTTCATCGTATGCCCTTATTTCTGGACTAGAAAGTCAACTTTCTCCATATTTCAACAAAAAAAATCCGTAATTTCACTCCACCACAATACACATACCTATAATTCTGGCTGGTTTGGGACTCTCCTACACTCGAAAGCTACACTGGCTGTGGAACCTTTGGATTTGAACGACTGTCAGAGTAGATGGTAATAAAATGCTTCGTAAAGGCTTAGGAGTTTAGGAGATATAGAGCTGCTTCTTTACTGCCTTCCCAAAAAATTTCCCAGGAAAGTAATTTTAGGAACAGTTTTACACAATTTGCAAAAACTCGTCGAATTCGTCAGATTCACCGTTACAACTGTCATATTTAGTATGTAACACTTCTCCTTAGCATGTATATGTATGAACACTTAGATTTCTAGCTGCCGAAACTTCCATGTAAGCTCATCGAAAGCAGATTTTATATTTATAGATTGATCTTTCTTGCCTTCTATACGCCAGAGGTATAAGCGCGTCACATTCCAAACACTCAAAAATATTTACAAACTTTCACTTACATACATATGTTATATAGTATGTTATGCATGTTTTAAGATGCTAAGATACAACATATTTTATTTTTCTTACTTGTGAGCAGAATCGCGAGAAAAAGTTTCTAACTACTCCCTTCGCTTAAGATCTTACTTTCAAAGGGAATTTTTTGTCATAAACGTATATTTAAGGACCGACCCGGTCTAATGCAAATATCTACATATATCCCTTATGAGTTGTAGCTGAAGTAATGCAATGGCTATAATTGAAGCTATGAAGCACAAATTTAAGCACTTTCACACTCACTTAAAAATTTTAAGCGAGTATAGATTTTTTGTTGTAGAAATTCTATGGTTCGTATGCAATTTCATTTGACTTTGCACATTTGTATGTACATAGTTTTCATTTTTACGGCAAGTCATGCAATTATAACTTCATTAACCTGTTTCTTGAGAGATGGAGCTTTTAAGGTGAAACAAGCAAAAGTGAATTCAAAATAAGAAGTGGTGTCATGGAGTCAGATCATTTTATGTATATTTAAGATTTTATTATTTTACAGAGTATAGTTTCGTATTACACCGTTTAGAAGTATGCACGCAGTTATACTTAAGTCTTTATAGCTTAGTATCGTCCCTTGCTGTTGGGGATAAGGCACTGCGACCTCAAGATTTATTGTGCCTTACATTAAGTTTGTATAAAAAAAAGCTTTTTTTAATGGTTAAATACTAACAAACTTTTCATGCTAGAAGTATATAAATATTTTTCAATTCAGATCAGTGTTGCCCAGAAAGAGATTTGACCCTGTACCCGTACATATAAAAGATATATATAGAAAGCTAACCCAGCCCAATTGAGACTTAGATAGAAAACCTTAAGAAAAGTATTATTCTCTTGATAATACTGTATGTACACTCACTATTTATTACATTGTCAGAGACTGATCTATAAAGTCTTAGAGGCCATGCCGAAACTAATTGTCTTTACATTTTCTTAATATTTACTTTATTTTGTACAGGCTGTTCAAGGTAAACTTTTTGGCTCGAAGGAAATAGTTGCATTATCCTGCGCTTGGTGTCACGAAGTCTATCACAATAAGGAATCTTGCTTTAATCAAGCGAAAATTGGCGAAGAGTGTTCGTTGGGTAAGTAAAGTGCAAAGAGTAAACAATTTAAAATATAATGAAATTGTAGGTAGGTTTGTAGTATATACATACTTATCCAAATTTATTTCAACTAAAAACAGCAAGTTTCATAGATTTTTCAAGAGAAAATTGATAACTCTTAAAAAGTCTCAATAAAGAGCAAAAAAATACATTTTTACAAGAGGAATACACCTTCATGCCCAAATATTTGTAATTCTCATACAATAAATTCTTGTAATCAATCAAAAATTTCGCAAAAGCTGAGTTAAACATATTTTAAACGACGTACATATGTAAATGTCGCCTTAATTGTATCCCTATATATATTTTAATCGTTAATGGTGGCTATTACACAGTGCCGTAAGGAAGAATGAAGTAGAAATACCTGCGAAGCGATGTCAATTTTCTTGTAGGTCCAGTCGAGTTAAAAAAGTAGCGAAATATAAAATTTGCGCAACACCCCCAAAAGTTTTCACTTTTTACACAATTTTCAAATGTTGGAGTTGGTTTTTAAGCACTATTTTACAAAGTAACCATCCTAGTCCACAATTCGTTGAGACAGTACGTTTAATTACTATAGAAAAAACGGGCTGAAACTAACTTTTCATGAAAAATGATTTCACGATATGTATGTTTAATACAAGAAGAAACTGATGACGTTTAACAAGAAAAAAATCGACTCGAAAAATCTTTCCGTTTAAGTATATCTCCGTTGTAAATATGAAATGAATCGGGCCGTAAATACGAGGTTTCTAAATATTTTGACACCTGTGCCACCTTTTATATTGCATTGTCATCGGCTTCTGAACTATGTTTGAAATATGAAGTCCCTAGCTCATCGAGAAGTAGGTTAAAACTTTATTGCAAAATTTGATTATAAACAGGTGAAACTTAATAAAAAGCTAATAAAAAAGTTGTGTGTAAGGCCAAGAATTGTATTTTTCCAAAAAAAGTACTTTACAGCGCCCTGCGACGGGCCGTGGTCAACTACACAAACGCAAAACCGGGTTAGCGCTGTAGGGCATTTTTTAAGTCTAATATCTCGAAAATAAAAAAATAAAAGCTTTGTGGAAATTGTTACGCTTTTAGGAAGAAAACCATAATTTGCAATTGCAATCATTTATTCTGATATAAAAAGTATCGGTTTTGTTGAAAATAGCATATTTATTTTTAAATATTGAAAATCATGGTAAAATCAAAATGTTAAAAACCAAATTCGCCAATTAAAAGAGCATCAGAAAATGCCCCCTAGCGTGGGCCGAAAATCTGCTTTTTTAGAATTCCGATTGGTAATAGCAAAAATATTGTTCATTATGCTCTAAAAACAGTGTGTGAGAGATGACAATTTTTGGCCAATATCTTAGGCTCGTTCAAGTCCATCAAAATTAAAGTGGTAAAATTTTTTTTCTTAGCTTACTTCGATTATCTACAAAAAATGTCCATACACCAAATTATGTAGGACTAATACATTCGAAGATACTTGCAATTTTAGTAAAAAAAAAACTGTATTAATTAATGTATTTATTAATTTTTATTTTTTGAGCACATTGAACTTAGATATTGACCAAAAATTGTCATCTTTCACACAGATTGCTTTTAGCACATAATGAACCATATTTTTGCTATTACCAATCGAAGTTCAAAAAAAGCGGATTTTCGGCCCACGGTAATAAACATACAAGTTCGATTTTTTTTATTACATGCACATATGATAATGAGCGGTGAGAAGCAAAATTCAAAAAATTTTCAAAATTTCAAAGAAACTAAGCTAAAAACTTTGTTCGGACCAGATAATAATTTTACCAGTTTTCAGCTTGATTCGAGATATTCGCAATTTTACCATGGACATTTTACGTAAAATACTTCATACATATGTATGTATGTATGTATTTATGTAAGTGATAAGCACACTCGTATCTTATTTTAGCATGAAGTCACAAAATGCAAAGTACAAACCAATTTGTGATAAGTAGGGTTCGGAATCTCATGCAAATGCATGTTTTTACTGGGCATCTTCAAATGGAAATGGTTAAGTTATCTTTACGAATCATGAAATTTCCTTTAAAATGGCATTCAATTGTTAGTGCAAATTTTTGCATATTTCGCAGTAAATGCATGATTTTGCATTTTTATTGTATTATTATTTATACAACTATTTAAATTTTGTGCGAAATCTCTTGACAAAAAAAAAATACCTTCAATTTTTTTTCAAATATTCATCTGCATATCTTCTTGGATAGTCAAGCGGCCATTAAGGCACCCTCTTCTACCTCTGTTCGATTTCAATTAGTGGAGGACTGTAGGAGAGAGCTGGTGTATATCTCTATCTAATACAAAATTACCCTAATATGGGTCCCGAGACATAGGTATATTTACTGAAACGAGGCAGCGAACGAACTAGCAAGGTGCGGCACCGCACTGAATGTGTCCCACGCAAAAATTACTGAAGTTTATCATTTGAAGACCAAGCAGACGTGGAACCGTACAGGATTACCCGGCAGTTCTGGGTGTCTTACGACCCACTTAAAACCAAAGCTCTCTTAGGTATTAGCAAAGAAGATACCACCCACAAACTTATTGCAGTGTGCACGGGGTACTGACCCTTTGGGGTACATATCGAAAGGATGGGATTGCCCTTCAACAGGTTCTGTCGCAGTTGCGATGGCCCTGGCTCAAAAGAGAGAGTCGAACACTTCTGTGCGAGTGTCCAGCCCTCAAAAGTTCGAAAAAAACCCTATCTCAAAAAACTTTTCAGGAACGCCGTATTTCAGAATTTTATTGAAAAACACTCTATCCCAGAATTTGGTTGAAGAACGCCCTATTTCAGAATTCGTTCCAAAAACACCCCTACTCAGCTGCCGATGCATAAACGCCCTATGTCAGCACATTTTCAATACATTTTAAAGGAAGATAGGCCATTTTTGAACAGAATTCTAAGATAAAGTGTTTTTCAACCAAATTCTGAGATAGAGCGTTTTTCAATAAAAATCTGAAATAGGGCGTTCTTGAAAAGTGTTTTGAGATAGGGCGTTTTCGAACTGACTGCCGAGATAGGTCGATCCTCCACTCAGCAGTCGATATTGTATGCGCATATTTTCGATTTTTTAGTGCACGAGATTCCGAGCCCTAGTGATAAGATAACGAAAAATGTTCGTCTTTCAGAAAATTATATACCTATACACTTTCTCAAACGCTTTCATATACATATACAAATGTTAATCATCCCCGCAAACATAAATAACGGGTGATTTTTTTGAGGTTAGGATTTTCATGCATTAGTATTTGACAGATCACGTGGGATTTCAGACATGGTGTCAAAGAGAAAGATGCTCAGTATGCTTTGAAATTTCATCATGAATAGACTTACTAACGAGCAACGCTTGCAAATCATTGAATNTTGGACCGTATTTTTTCAAAGATGCTGTTGGACGCAACGTTACGGTGAATGGCGATCGCTATCGTTCGATGCTAACAAACTTTTTGTTGCCAAAAATGGAAGAACTGAACTTGGTTGACATGTGGTTTCAACAAGATGGCGCTACATGCCACACAGCTCGCGATTCTATGGCCATTTTGAGGGAAAACTTCGGAGAACAATTCATCTCAAGAAATGGACCGGTAAGTTGGCCACCAAGATCATGCGATTTGACGCCTTTAGACTATTTTTTGTGGGGCTACGTCAAGTCTAAAGTCTACAGAAATAAGCCAGCAACTATTCCAGCTTTGGAAGACAACATTTCCGAAGAAATTCGGGCTATTCCGGCCGAAATGCTCGAAAAAGTTGCCCAAAATTGGACTTTCCGAATGGACCACCTAAGACGCAGCCGCGGTCAACATTTAAATGAAATTATCTTCAAAAAGTAAATGTCATGGACCAATCTAACGTTTCAAATAAAGAACCGATGAGATTTTGCAAATTTTATGCGTTTTTTTTAAAAAAAAAGTTATCAAGCTCTTAAAAAATCACCCGTTAGTTGGACCGATATAAGGCTAAACGAAGGTAAATATTCCGAAATAGGACTCTCCAGTGACACATTTACGCAGGCAATTGCAAACTTCTTACTTCCCACTTCGTCGATTTCAATTTCATATCCTCTACCCACCAGCTGGTATATCAATGCATTTGCATAAATAGCTCCCCGCACAGCAATTAGACTAATGCGTTTGACAACCGTTCAATTTCAGCAATTAGACATTATATGCAGCTACGGATATACATCTAGTATATGTAAAAATATCTAAATGTATGTACAAGTACATATCAGTAATCTGAATCAAATGAATGAATGTTGCTCATACGCCCCGACAACCACTCGTTAAAAATTGGCTTACGCCATAGGAATCGATTGGAAAATTTTACGGTTTGTTTTCGTTAAAAGTGCAAGTAGTGAATGCTTGATGTAAGGAAACATACATATTCCACACACACACACACATCCACATTCGCTTGCAATGAATTTCGCAGGCGTGCTCATCACCGCACTTTATGTGATTGCATGCGTTTTGTGTTCACATCGTATCTGTAGCAAAGTGAGTGAGCGCATTTTCCTGAAAGCTTCTAGAGTTGCTGCCAATCGCAATGACTTCATTTTGTGGGGTAGGAAAGGATAAAGATTGCTTGCAAGGTGGGACGATGCCGTTAGTTATTTCCAAAATTACGAATTTGCGGTAGGACTAGGGTACAAAAGCAACAAAAAACTCTTGCCCAAGAATAATTTAGATATCACATGGCTCGATAAATTTTATTTTTACTAATATAAAGCATATAAAAATAAAATGTGAAATTCAAAATAATTATATACATTTTTTTAAAACATCACTTATTGCGATTGTTATTAAATTTTTAAGTTCAGTGACCACTTTTAAAAAGAAATTGGATAGTGGCATTTTTTTCAAACACTTTAATACTTTTTTCAGGCAACTATGCACCCATTATTGTGCCGCCTTCTTGGATTGTTAAACTGCCCACCAAGGGAAATTTCAAGTCCTCCATAAGAGTGAACAACAAAAGCAATGTCACAATAGGTACGAGTAAAAAGAAGGGCACGAGTAAGCGGCAAAAACAAAAGGAGGAGAAGAAAGAGCCACGCGCCTTCATCGTGAAGCCCATACCATCGCCCGATGTCATACCCGTGATAGTGTTCATCAATCCCAAATCGGGCGGCAATCAAGGTGTTAAGCTTTTGGGTAAATTCCAACATTTGCTCAATCCACGACAAGTTTTCGATTTGACGCAAGGTGGCCCTAAGATGGGGTAAGTACGCACGCATCTTTAGAAATGACTCGCAGACAAAATCTCTCTCCAACTAACTCCCATTATCCAATAGCTTGGAATTATTCCGCAAAGCGCCAAATTTACGCGTATTGGCGTGCGGTGGTGATGGCACCGTCGGTTGGGTACTTTCGGTGCTGGACATGATCAATCCNCAGCAACAATTGCAATCACTTAGCCACAAATTGCACACCTTCTTCAAGTGCTGCCACGATATGGCATTTTATGCACACACACACCTACAAACACATTTGTGTACATGTACAATGTAGATATGCAGAAATCTGAAATATTCCAAAGGATCTAGCAAAATGCCGCATTGCATGATGAACTCCTCCACTCCCACATTACTTTGTTGTTAATTTTCTTCTTTTTTTTGTGTTTGTTTCTCCTCCTAGCTATGGCGGCGGCACACACCCCTGGAACGACTCGTTCGGCCAATCTAAGCCAGCCATCGATGACGGCATGATTGAGGTCGTCGGCCTGACCACATACCAACTGCCCATGCTGCAGGCCGGCTTGCATGGCACCTGCATTTGCCAGTGTCGGTCGGCGCGCATCATCACCAAAAAGACTATACCCATGCAGGTGGATGGCGAGGCGTGTCGCGTGAAGCCGTCGATTATCGAAATGAGTTTGTTAAATAAGGCGGTTATGCTGGCCAAACGGAAGCACGGTCGTGGCGATGTACAGTAAGTGCAAGAAATAAACACACAACTTTATATTATTACGTTTATATCCATTAAAGAGTTTGTTGTAATTTTATTTTTAAGCTAAATATTGGAGTAAAAAAGATGCTGATTTATATAAGGCACCTTAAAACACATTAAAAAATTGGTAGCATTTGGACCATTATATTTTTTTTTAGACATGACCCGCATAATATTCAAATGGCCAAGTTAACAAGTTTTTGTTGTATGGAACTGTAAAAAATAATTAACATTACAAAATGGTTAAATAATTCTACAGAATGGTTTTCTTTTATATGACACCCTTGTTATCTTTCATTGCACTAAATTTTTTTAAAAATTTTTTGAAATAATCATATTTTTTAAATTTCAAAGTATTTAAAAAAAATCCTGACGTCAGAGAAAACCCTAAGTACGTAGTTTTATTATAATTTACCCATATTTCCGCGAATATATTCATTTTTTTGTGTGTAAAATTTACTGTTGCGCGGTGTTTCATATACATATACCATTTCTACAAAAAAATTATTTCTGTTTATATAAAATACGTGGAAAACTTTAAGCGCTTTCAGCGACCTCTAAATATTTTTTGATTTCACAATTTACAAAAAAAAACGGGTATATTTTTTTTAATATAGAACAATCTTAGGGGATGCGAGCATTAAATTTACGATTTTACTTATTTTGGACCTCCCTAATATTTACACATACATTGGAAACATTCCTTATGGAAATATCCTTATCTGGTGGACACTCCGAAGCAATTTTAATATATTTTCTGTTTCCTTTTCACTTTTAACAATAAGTGTGAGTAAAGCTTCGGCTTGTCCTAAAGGAATGTTCTCATATTTTCTGGTGGCATGTAATGTTTATAAGTTGTTGTCTCTGGAAGAGTATGCACACATATGTATGTATGCATATGTGTGTGTTTTCCGCCATTAGATGTCGAAATGTGCATCCTAATGCATGGCTTAAGGCAACCAACTGGCAAGACGGCCTTTGTTTGCCATCATAAAACATGCAATTGAAGCATTACTCAGCAAATTCAGCTTACAGACAAACTTATCATTGCAGTAATCTGATAGAAGTAGGTCAATAAGCGGCAACAAAATGTCAGTCTTACGATTCTGCCCAGGCAGCACTGCACTAAATTGAGACGCAACATTTGAGCAGTGGTTGTTTTAATTTTTCATACCATTAATTTCGAATCGAATTGTTATGGAAATAAGATATTTCAGTTAAAAGTACATTACTATATATATATATTTTTTAAAGTTATCATTTAAGTTTTAACGCACTCGCATTTTATAATTATCAAATTATTTCACTATGCCCTTTACATTGCTTTCAGGGTGAATCCTTTGGAGAAATTGCATTTGACGATTTTACGAATAACAATGCAGCAATACGAACAACACCACTACGATAAGGAGATGTTGCGCAAATTGGCCAACAAGCTGGGCAAAATGGAAATCGAGTCACAATGCGATTTGGAACAAGTGCGCAACATACTCAATGCCAAATTCGAGGAGTCGATCACATACCCGAAGGTGTCGCAGGATTGGTGCTTCATCGATTGTAAGTACACCCGATCTAGGGCTTACACTTGCGCTCGGAGCTTGAAACAATTTTTTTTAAATCCTATATTTTTGTGTTGGTGTTGGTTGATTTTTCCGACAGGGTGGTAAGATGATTTATTTTGGAACGAATTTCCGTCATCCCTTGTCAAGTTTGGTTTGCAGACAAACCGGTTTCGGCGTTGTGCCATCTTCAGTGTTATTTTTCGAAAAAATTTGTCTGCAAACCAAACTTGACAAGGGATGACGGAAATTCGTTCCAAAATAAATCATCCTATATTTTTGTGTGTAATTTATTTCCTTACCTTTCACTTGCAGCCTGCACCGCTGAACATTACTTCCGCATCGATCGCGCCCAAGAGCATTTGCACTACATTTGCGATATTGCCATCGATGAGTTGTACATTTTGGACCATGAGGCTGCCACCATGCCACAGACGCCCGACCAGGAGCGCTCCTTTTCCGCCTACTCGCAGCGGATTGGCGCGCAAAATGAGCGCCGCAGTATGGACCCACAAGGCCGTTCCGGCAGCACCGGTACGCAATTACCCTACATAAGTAAACGAATGTTTTGCAATTATTATTACCGCAAGAAGCGTTACGAGTTGTAAGGCGGCTTTTTATGTTTTTTTACATATTTATTTGGTTTTTTTTTGAAACACTTGTAAGGCGAATTTGCGTAAGTTTGTGCATACACAAATGAAGGGGACATTTAAAACGCGGGAAAAATTGTGGGGAAAAATTTGTTTGCATAAAAGTGGATAAACAGCAATTATTTTAATGCAATTTAAAATAGCAAATAGACACAAATAAATTAGATGAACCTTTTGTCTAAATTTAATTTCGATATCCAATCTAAACAGTTTTGTGTAATTTTTCACACTTTTTCTATGCGATAATTTATAATAATTCTTACCCTGCTAGATAATTAGTTTTGCTTCATGAATTACGCAGACCGCATTTTGAGTTACTTATGTATAGTGGTTATGTAGTATTTTAAAGATTCAATATACATATTTTACTTCTTTTTTTTACATATGGCCATGGCATAACATTTATTACTTTCAAATTTCTATCGCGACTTATTGTATTGAGAAAAATTGTTTGTAAGCTACAAATCAAGTCTCCTCCCGGATAAGCTCGTTCGTGCACTGCGAAAAATTTTCAAATCGGATAGCGCAGAGACGTGCCTAAAGAGCCCTAAAGTTATATAATTCATTAAATTTTACATAAAATAGGAAAAACAGTAAAAATAGCTTATTTGTTTCGTATCACTCAATGGATTTTTGCACGTTCATCTCAAATAAGTATAAGTGCGTAGCTTTCGGTCGGATCTTTCCATTATCGGACTTTCATAATTTTCCACACAGCATATTTTTATGACCAAATGAACCTATCGAGGGGGAGGGAGCCTTACTTTGTGGATCAAAGTTGAAAATTAACGCGCGCGCGCACCCTAATGTACGTGTATAATAATTGGAGAGCCTTTAACCAAAAAAGGGAAACATTAACCCACTGTCAAAAATTCTGATCGATCAAAACACTTTTATACTTTTCTTGAGGCCCTAAATTGTGTTGTTATTAGTAAAATACTACCCCCGCCTGCCTTCTCTTAATATTTTTCTTTTATATTATTTTTTTTTTTTTATATCATTACGCTTAATTACATTGCTATATATGTATGCTTTAAGTGTTGCTCTTGCTATGCTTGCTTGTTATTTACCTGTTTGCCACTTTTGTATCAAATACATATTGATTTCTAGCATAATTCTAAGCCTTTTTAAAAAACAAATAAAAATAAAAAAAAAGATTTCAGAATACAGCTTAGTCCTTGCCGCAAATATGTAAGTACCGATACGCATACAAACATACGACCAAGATGTCACTTTTCCACACATACATACATATGTAGATGCAATATTATAAGTATACATACTTCTAGTGCAACTTATATTGACAGCAAAGACTAAACCGTATTCCGATATCTCCGTGCCACCACCACCAACTAAAACCAAACTCTAAAATACCAAAATCACACAAACTGAAAACTCCCAACCAACCCAAAATGTATAACAAAGATACAAATCGCAAATGGTACGTTGAATGCACACTAAATGCATTTGAATGTTTTGTATATTTTTTCTAAACATTTACAAATTCAACTTGTATATTATTCGCAATATAATTGATTGTGTGTCTGGCGTCTGAATTAACAATGGTTTGTTTTTAATTTCCATGTCTCAAAACAAAAACTTTTAATAATGCTTAAATACGAAGAAGATGATTTGCAAATCGGAAAACCAGTGAAGGTTATGAAATGGAAGAGGTAAAAGGAATGCATAGATGCCTATTTATATTAAAAAAAAAAAAAAAAGTAACAACTCCATCATGCCACTCAAATCGCTTGGAACTATCTTCTAAACATTGTCTATGCTATTTCAAAGAATTTCGTGTCACAGCTTTAACTCACTGCCTTTCCGAGAAAAATTTTATGAAAACGTGTCAATTGGAACTGTCACACCTTTTCTACTCAAACCTAACCAAAACTACTTCCAATTTTCTTATCAGTGTATCGCTTGATATTGTTTCACTCACGTGCTGTAATTTTTTTATATTTTACTTAAAAAAAAAATCACAAGATATCGCGATTTTTCGAAACAGATATTGAAAAAATATGTAGTAGAAATACTATTTATGGATTTGAGAACAACTTTTAAAATAGGCAAAAATCATAAATATTTATAGTTTACTCATTAAAAAAAATTGCTTTAGAAAGCTATAAGGCCGCTTCACACGATTGCTGCATTTGTACAATTTTTCATTGTGGCAGTTCGTCGATTGGCGCAATACATACAAACTTAATAGGACATTTAATTAACAGACATAAAAAAAATTTTTGTCAAGTTTAGGACAAAGCCCAATATTTTTCCATCACACGATTAGGCTATCAACTTACATCGAATTTTGGGCAAAAGCCCAATCCTCTGACTCTGACAAAATACGTTTTCATTTGTATGAATTTTTTCAACCGCTTAAATTTTTTTTTGAAAAGCTACGCAAAATATTGCCGTTACTCTCATGCAAGTATGTTTACGCACCTACTTAGATATCTGGAAAAATTACTAACAGCTAATCAAACATTGTGGGAGCATTCAAAAGCAAAAGCCTTAAGGCCACAGGTCCATTCAACGCTATCGAAGTAGATTCGCGATGTCCAAGGAGGTAGACGGAGCAACGCACTTCGTAAATCAACTAAAATCAATCCTTATAGAGAAAAAATCATTAATTTAGTTGAATTGTGTTTTTTTCTTGTACCAATTTTGCAACTTAGTAGGTAATCAATAGCAATGTAAATTTTTCAGAGGAATGTCTTAGATCTTTTATAACTGTAGAGCAGAGGCGGTCACAGAGTTTTAAATTATAAATGGGGATAGGGTAAAGGCTTATACAACTAATCATCTACTGTATTATTAGAGTGAATATAATTTGGGGGTTAGCGATATTTCCTGGTGGCCCATTAAAATGTTAGAAATGTTAGCCTAAAACATTTAAGAGAGTTTTAAATACATATTTACCTACAAATTATCATTATAATTGCTTTTTTAATTATCTAAAGCTAGCTTCCCATAAATTCATACATCCATGACTATCTATATGTAGTAGAATAGAACAGCATTTGATTAAATAAAAAAATATGACCCATTAAAAAACGTTATTTTCTCCTCTCGATCTTCTCTTTTTATAAACATATATGTACGGATTGTACCTATATATGTACACATATATCATTCACTTGCATTTTCGCACATCTCGCTTACTCACTTGTGAATACAAAAAAAAAATCTATAATTTTTGATTTGATAACTTTAACGATTTGCATGCAGCAACAAAGATCGATTGTTTAGTTTCAACGAAGACGTCTTCGGTTATGGATTCAGGTATTTTTTTGTTTTTTTTAGCAAAACAAAAACGCTTTCCCAAAAAAAACTTATTTTTCATTAGTCTAAATACCAGAAAACGCATATCTGTAAATAGTTTGTATAAAATTGATGACTTTTATTTATTTATTTCTTTCTTTTTTTTCTTTGTTTTTTTTTTGCAAACGTATTTAACAACTCCTCCTTGCGCGCTCGACGCACTCAAACGCATAAAAAACTTGCACAACAACGCACAAACTGATTGACGCAAACTGCACTCGATTCAAAAAATAAACAACTACGTGTGACTACGAATGAAACCTAATTGAATATCATTTATTAAACATCTTTTAGCCCTATACTGGAACAAACTTCCGATGCCGTACTACTAGCGGCGCATCAAGGCGACCTAAATATGGTAGTTAGCGCACACTATATTCATAGATATATGTACCTATATTTTTACCACTTATACATACTACATACCTAACATACATACATACATACATATGTACGCATAAGCGACTCTCATGTGTGATAAAAATCGTATTTGTTGGTTTTTTTTTTTGTTTAATGTTAATTTGTTGTTTTCATTTCATTAACGCAACAAATTCGATCAGTGTAAATAAAATTGCGAATGAACAAACTCTATTTATTGCACGCACTCGTCTAAAAAGTATCATTTGCATCCGACTCACAGGCGATTATTGTCGAAACTACATTTTTAAGGCACCAACCCTGCAAACCAAAGTTCCCGAAATCTTAACGAAATCTTTAGGAGTATCTGATTTCTGTAACGATTTTTTTCCGAATCTTCAAAGAAAATTATATGAAGTGGTTGACACGAACTCGTAAAGAAATTTCTATACGAAAAATAAAGAAAATTCTGAAAAAAGTCTGCAAGAAATTCTTCACATAGCAGCATTATTTTCATTTCTTCACCGATTTTCTTCCGAAATTTCGTAAAAGAATGGAAGTGTGCGTAATTTATTTCATTTTAGAAAATTTGGAAAAAAATCGGATGGGATCTTTCCGAATTTGTTAAAATTTCTTTACGATTCAGAATACTCCGAAAAAATGGTTTGCAGGGAATATTTTAATTGTATTTTTAAAAAATTTACATTTACATATGTCTAACAGCAAGTATGCAATTAAATCTTTTGCAGTTACGTGCACTACATGAACAAGGATACTCACTACAATCAGTAAACAAAAACGGACAGACAGCACTGCATTTCGCCTGCAAATACGACCACAAAGACATTGTCAGATATATAATATCGTGCGCTTCACGGCGTCTAATCAACTTGGCAGACAAGGATAGGTAAGTGGCTGCACAGCTTATTTCTTCGCCGAAAGGATAGTTAAACGTAATTTTTATACATAATCACAGTCTGCCTCTACAATCATGAAAACATATCCTGTGAAACCATGATCAAAACCCTATACTTCACGGCGCCTAGTGGGGCATCCCAAAATAAGAGGTTGTTTTTTTTTTTTTGGTGTCTGGGACATTGCCCCCAAATGACTACTTTTGGAGAGGAAAAACTTGTTTAACATATAAATGAATTACCCGGAATGAATAAGTTATTTTTCTCAAAATTATTAATGATACCACACCATGATGCATCCAAAATTAAGAGAATCTCCTCCAAACAGCCATCTTTGTTTAAAAAAAATTATATACAGTGACGAACAAAAGTATTGGCACAATGAATTTTTCGCAATATATGCAAAGTTTTTTATTCTAATTTATTTTCGATCATTTTTTATAAAAATATAGTTCATATTACACCGAAAAACATAAAAATAAAACCTCAAAACTTTGTGCAAAACTCGCGAAAATTCATTAAATTTGCACACTTATTTGCAACTTTTTATTCAGATTTTTTAGAAAAATTCTAAGTATGCAGTTTTAAGTCCATTCAATTTTAGTACGACAAAATGCAAGTTTAAAGTTGCTAGAAAATCGCCCTGATTTTTGGTAATGTTGTTAGTGGAAGGTGTTGCTGATTTTCTCCATACAAAAAATAATTGTCGAATATACTTTGTATGGAAGAACTTGCGTGAAAAAAAAAAATTATCAAAAATCAACGCGAATTTCTAGCGACTTCAAACTTGTACTTTGTAATACTAGATTTGAAATGAAAATTGTATAATTGTAAAGGTATATTTGTAGTTATAATCTACCTACAGTGCCGAACAGAAGTATTGGTGAATTTTTCGCAATATATGCAAAGTTTCTTATTCAAATTTTTTTTCGATAATTTCTTATTATTTAGATTAGATTACTATTTAGACTTTGTTGTTCTTTAAATTTTTCTTAATAAACATAACCGTGGTACAAAGCTCAAAACCATATTAAAAAAAATATATATACATAGTTATGTTAAACAATTTACAATTAGTGTAAATTAATTTTAAATTAAAGATAATAATAATGGATTTGTGGTTACACAATTATTCACTACTGCCTAGTTATTAAAATATCTAGTTAAAAATTAACAAATAACAAAAAAATGCACGAAATTTTTAAATAACGCAACGGGTTTTAAAATTTTTCTAACACCCTAAAATTCTTAACATATTATTAAAACACTATTTTCGCATGATTTCGAAAATAACGTGCTTACAAAACTTTGCAAATATGTTGAAAATGTTTGGAATAAATTTATATAATTTTTATTATTTTTTCCGCATTCTTTGCCAGTATTTCAAATGAAAATAATCTGTCTTAGTCAATACTTCGAAAAGAATTTTTAATTCCGAGTAAAACTAGGTACCATTCATTAAAAACAATAAAAAAAAAATATGAAGTTATGGCTCCTTTTATAAAGATTGCAACTGGACGAACTATTGAAACCTCAGCGAAAGTGAAGCTAATCCAACTGATTGAAATTTTCGAAGTGATTTTGGAAAAATCTTTAGAAAAAATCATACCTTGTCGATTGACAATTGTCTATGTTCGTACAGTACAAATTTCCACCAATCATAGCTCAACTTTTTCAAGCTTCCTATTCTACCAGCCAACCGAAGTGTAAACATTAGTTGGCCCTGTCGGACGAGATTTTTAGGGACTGGCAGAGAAGACATGCGCCAGCAGTAATAATAATCTTGACATAGCCTCACTTTGTAGACCATAAAGCACTGCTCCAGACTAGCTTTCATTGTCGCCTTTCTACTCATTTAATTAATTCATTCAATTTATTTTACTAGTTCTTTATCTTTTCTAACCTAGTTTCTCTCATTTACCATCTCCCATTATAGGGGACAAACAGCTCTGCATGTTGCTGCCGAAAACAATCGTCGCGACCTTTGTGTGATGCTGGTGGCTGCGGGTGCCAATCTACAGGCAAGCGACCTTTGCGGCAATACACCCATGATGGTGGCCTTCAATAAGAATTTCACAGAGATTGCAACATATTTGGAAAGTAAGATGTTTTGTGCAACAATACACACAACAACAACTATTGCTAAAAGACGCAACAAAATACAACAGCAAAACCCGTAAATAAGCAGCTAAACGATTAGCCGTATCAGGCAGCTAGAAATTAAAACCCTCCCTCCCCACTTCCTGCCTCCTCCTTGACTAGAAGTCTAAAAAAACAATTGGTGAATGCCTTGTAATGCAGTACTTTGTGCAAAAAAGAACAGTCAAAAAAAGAGACCCAAAAAATGCCACTGGTTTTAATTTTAAGCTTTGCATTAAACTTAATTTATTTGTATGTAAATGTATGTAGGTGTAGGTATGTAACTCTCTTGGTTGTTGTTATTTTAAGTTGTGACTTTCATTTATTGTACTTGAGTTTTTAATTATCAAATTTGAGCGATTTATTTTTGAATAGTGTAGGCTAATTTATGAGTTTGGTTACTGCTCGTTTCCGACTTCCTTTCAATAGGGGTCTTCTCGAAGTCTCGGAAAAGACCTTGCAGGGTGTACGGATTGCATGTTAAAAACCGGTTTTCCTATGGGACAGCAGTGCAAACCGTGCAATCCGTGCAAGTGCTTTTCAAGACTTAAACGTGAATAACTGGAAAATGCTTTTTTATAGAACTTTAACTTTTAGTGAAATTATTTATATTATAATTTTTACGACATTAAATCAATTAATTTGAATTATTATAAATTGTTTATCCTACCAACGCATTCAAATTACGAAACTGCACTTAAAAAAACAAAACAAAAAAAAAACGAAAAATTGACGTGGCAACCACACATTCCATAAAATTAAGGCCAAGAGCGTTTTCTCTCAATGCAGAGACAGTCGCGAAATTGAAGCGGAACAAGTCTGAGATGGAAACGCCCCAACAAAAGATAAGCAAATAGAAATTAGTATAATTTAAATTTAGGAGACATATACCTATGATATTTAGTACATACATGCATAAATAAGTATTAAAGTAAAAAAAAAAAACTATTAACTCATACAATATGAAACTATGGATACTTCTAAATGACGGCTACGATGATGTCAGAACAAAAAGGTTTGACAATTTATAATATTACAGATGAATTTTAACTCTACTTGCAACGACTTAATAGAGAGTTCTCATCAAAACCCGCATAGCAGACAGTTCATGCAATCAAATTAATTTAATTATTATACTTAATTATCTCTAAAAATAAGCGATTTATACTCACTACAAACTAATGAATAAATATTTCCTTAAGCAGCAATCAGCAAGTAGTTTACAAATCACCATTGGGCTAGAATATATATATATATGTATTTAAACTTAATACCATTTTAAATAAGATTTAATGCTAAAAAAGAGTAAAAATTATAAACTTACTGCTAAAAATGTTCAAAGAAAATAAACAATAAAATTTTCGAAATTAAACCTATAAATTAAAAATACACTAGCGTTGCAAATATTCGAAAAAGAAAATCATCACTTAAGAATTGTCAACGTTAAACGCCTAAAACGGAACTTCAGGAGCGTGAGATTTATTTGTGATATGGGATCAAATATGTATGAATGTATTTATGTGGAAAATATTCTGTAAATGTAAAATAAAAAAAAAAACAGAAATTGAATATTAAATGGCCAAGTTTTAGGCATCAAACAATTTTGCGGAAAATTTAAGTGACAAGTAAAACCAAGCTAAGCTTACAGTTAAATTTAATTAACTTATAAAGGTCTTATTATTTCTAAAAAAAAAACTAAGAAATCGAATAAAGTTACATTTTATATATAATATAAGTGAATAGTGAAGGTGAATAAATCTTAATGCAAGAAACTAGCCTTAAAAACACACACACACACATAATGATATTGAATAAATATTTTAATTAAATTATAGTAAATACCTCCTGTCATTGAAATAAGTTAAGAAATACTCAACGAACTTTATAATGCAATTGATTGCAACTTGCGTTGATGAAAATATATATGTAAATCGAAAATAAAAAAAAAATAAATTATTTGAACACACACTTTACTTTTTTCTTTCAATTCTTGATATTATTATTACTATTTTTTGTTATTAAGTTTCAACCAAATTCACTACCCGCAACCCGCGACTACTTTCCTTTGCTTGTTTTAAGGTTCGTTTTTTTTTTTTGTATAAAAGTATAGCTCTTTATCTAAAAAATACCATATAAATCTAAATTTCAGACCTTGTATAAAAATTGTAAAAATTCCACAAACTTTTCATCCCAGTTCTTAGCATTTTAATTCTAATTTCTAGAATAATTTTTGGTATTCAATTTCATAGCTTATCAAAATCTAGTATGATAAAGTATGATACCTCTCCTAATGCAGTTGCATAAAACTTGTCGAAGTTAAGCAATTTAAGCAAAAATGCGGCCTCGAATTTATTTCGGTGCATATACTGGACTTTCAGATTTTTTGAGCAGTGTGGCTAAGGAATTCATCAATACTTACACACACAACAAAATTTGGACAAGTTTGATCTCGAAAACGAGACCGTCCTCATCTCATACATTTTGTTATGCTGTTTTCAAGTCCAATTATACGTCAAATTTTTTGCGGGAAAAAGGCAAATGAACACTTGGTAAGCTCCAAATCCTTTCGTCCTTTCGTATAATGTTTGGCAACAGAGTTCACGCCAAAATTTCCCACTGAGTACTTTAAATAGCTGCTGAATACCAGTACCGTTCAAATGTTTAGTACCGAGTAGCTTCGAATATCAATTCGGAATCGATACTGAGTAATTTAAGTACTTTTGAGAAACGGGTGCCGTCGATTCTGCAGAGGACTAAGTATTTACAACTGTCAGTATCGATACAGTTCAAAAGCATGCAATAAAACAATATCTTTCAAGCAATTTTTAAATACATATTATATTGACGCAAAAATTGCCGATAATTTCCTTTCGAATTTATTTCTATTTTACTTATTTTTTTCATTACCCTCATATGTTCATATGGATTTCTTAGTTGTGTGTCAAAATAATAATACTAACAATAAAATAATAATAATGCGAATAATCATAAACTATTCGTAATTTCAACACATTTATTTGCCTTAAGATTAACAACATTTCCTAACTGAAACTCGATTTTATCCTTTATGCACACACACACATACATAATTATATGTAGTAAGGTAACAATCAAGTCAATTAAATTAAAATGCATACATTTTTAAGTATTATTTATGTAAATCACATTAAGCGTTAGTACTTATGTACAATTATTTAAAAATCGTTATAGTCTTTGCGAAAATTATCCTTTCTAAGCACATTTGCATACGTGGAAACAATTACATCTCGTACAAAAAGCCCAACAATAAAACCGAAGGGTAATCGGATTTTTAGGAACACAAAACGTTCGCATGCAAATATGGTAAGGAACGAAATTCTCAGCACTCGAATGGTATTTATGTTTTGGATTATATATATTAATGTTAAATGCAACAAACAATTTATTGCATTTTTTTAAAGCCCCGTAAAATTTGCAATAAATTGTTTCAGATATAAAAATTACATACTTACACACACATATATGTACTTCATTTACGAACTAGAAAGTAAAAAAAGGAATATAAGTACATACATACATACCTACTATACTATGTAAGTACATATGTATATGTTTGTATGTATGTACGCTTGCATACAATAGTATGTATTTGAAATTAAATATTTGTAATGTACTTTAAAAAAAAAATACTTCAAGCATTTGGTGAATTGAAAAAGGAGTTAAGTATTAATTAATAGGAAAACTAAAACTACAAAAGCAACTGACAATCTACACACATAACTAGTACATCGGGCTCTAAATAAGTGCACATTAAAAAGTATGTACCTACTAACTACATAATATGTATATGCACATAGTATGTACGTACATATATGTAAGTATGTTTAGTAGATATAATCTTGATTACAGTTCGTACGTGTCACTCATTTACATAGTATGTATGTATTATAAAGATCTAAAAATCGCAATTATAAAAAGTATTTTTCCACACGTATTATTCGCTATTAAAAATGCTTATTAAAAATTTTTATTATATAGTACGAACAAATAGACATTAGAAAAGTCGAATATATTTACTCTAAAAAAAAAGCAATGATGCATGAATCTTACAATTAAGAATTTTTTCGATGCAATTAAAAAATATAATAATAATATAATATATTAGAAATTAAGCTCAAACCATTACGAAACACTTGTAAAGATTGTTTGAGAAGTGTGATCTAACGCCAGCGAATTTTGAATTCCATTTTTACATACATACATACATATGTGCATATGTATATATAAATCGAGTAATATAGCAAACAAAATGTAAACCTAAAGACTTATTCATATGCTATATAATGAAGAGAGCTGCAAATGGTAAAAATATTGGGAACATATTTGGAATGCATATACGGGTATATGTACATATAAGTGTGTGCATAAATATGTAAGCTCTTCATTTTTAAAAAAAAAAAGGGCAGCGTTAATGAAGCAATTACTTTAAAATGACACTTTATCCATCAATTTGCAATGAAGTTCTACTACATGAATATTACATACATATGTATGTATGTATATAGTATATAGTATGTATACTTTGTGTACAGCAGACGACATGGCAGGCATGAAAGGCATGGCAGGCATGAAAGGCATGGCAGGCATGAAAGGCATGGCAGGCAAGCGCGCCCGCACGTGGTTTTTATTTAAGAAGTATGTATGTATGTACATATGTACAGAGCAGGGATGTTGCGAATATTTGAATTCGCATTCGTTAAGCGAATGATTCGCATCATCTTACACATTCGCATTCGACATTTGCATTCGCATCAAATGATACGAATGTTTTGCGAATGCGAATGTGTACATGGGTAGGGAGTCCACTCTAATATCGTTGAAATGGCTCTAAGTCTGTTGTCTAACCAGGGTGCGGACAATAACCGACGGTTAAGTAGGATATCAAGCAACATTGATGGGCCTTCAATAAGTACTACTAAAAGTCGTATAGGCAACCTAGAAATAATTTCAGATTCCTCCAGCGAAAGCGAAGGCTCGGATGTAGAACCTG